GTCGAAGTCGGGAGGGATCCCGTACGCTTGCTCTGTTAGCCACTTCCTATGCTCAAAGCACAAGTCTGGCAGAACAGGGCTCTCATCTGGGCCGTCACTCGCCGCCCACAGCCCTTCGCACTCGCAAAACTGATGGCCGAAAGTCCCCTGCAGATGATCGCAGAAGTCGCACTTGCTGCTAGACGCGTAGCCGTGCTGAAACTTGCGGGCTGGGGGCCACATAGCCCCTGACCAGAGGGCCCTGAGACACGCCCTGCGGGCACCTTGAAGCCTCTGGAACCCCAGCCGAAGAGTCCTGACCCAGACGACCTCACGCCCCTAGGCCTCGGGGAGACTCGACACAAGCTGGAGCCCCAGGGCTCTGCTAGTTCCTTCGCGCAGCAAACAACGCACATCTGAGGGAGACGTGCGCAACAAAGAGAGAACATCATTATGATCCGTCCTGATGTGGTGGGGCCCAACAAGTTCCCACCCAGCTCGCTGCAGTGAGAGCATGACGGCTCCGACTGGCCCTCTAATTCTAGACCAATGCGGGGCAAGCACGGGTTGAACGGGCGAAGCAGCACCGCCAACATCACCGCTGACGCCGCCGAGCAGCCAGCTAGCATGCCCTGAAAATTGACATAGGCCTCGGAGAGGGACCCAAAAGCGTCGACCTGCCTAGGGGCCATGTAGCTCTGGATGAGCATCCACCCCAGGCGGAGGAGGAAATGAACCTGGCGAAAAACCTGAAACAAACCGAGAGTTTTATCATTTCATAGCACTTGACCATATCCAGCGGCGAGACACAATGATGGGACCGCGCCTTCGCAATCTCTGCTGCTAGATTCAAATCAAAGGCTGAATCGCTCGAGCTCATCCCCCTCCCAGTACCAGTCGCACGCAGTCCTGGCGGCGAGCTCCCATTTCTCTGTCTCTGCCCCGCGCAAACGGCCCCAGAGCCGCAGCAAGGAATCGAGGAGGGCGATCAAGCGGCGGCCGCCGTCAGGCTTGGCCAGCCTGACCAAACGGCTAACTAGGCGCCCCGTCGGCCAACACCCGACACTCTCACAGCTCATGAGGAGAGCGGCGTCAGCCGACAAGATGGCATCCGACAAATATTGCAGCGACCTCGGGTGAATGCTCACACACCCGACAGCCGTTCGAGGAGGGCATTTGGCGATCGCCGCTCGCCTATCGGAAATCGTGATCTCCGGGAGCGACGGCCAATCATCGAAATCGGGCGGGAACTCGGGCGCTCGACATCCGTGAGTCGACCAGATTGGCCCAGTCCGAGCAAGTCGCATCAGCCAGCTGAAACGGCTGCGCTCGCTCGGTGGCCTCGATCGTCTCCTGAAGACCTCGCGCCTTGGAAAACCTACGAGCTTCCCGAGCCCCGCCCAAAAAACTGCTCCGAACCCAGGCCTTCCAGGACTCGTCTTTCAAAGCCAGGAACCTGGCCTGGTGAGAATCGGCCTGGCCCAGGATTCGCTGAATCAAATCCTCGGTCGCTGGGTCGCCAAAGACCGCAAGGCCTGAAAGAAAAAAGGCGCGCGTCAGATGGTCCAGCGCCTGCAGGGTGGAGCGCTGCCTCGCGACGTTGTTCATGAAAGCCTGAGCCTCGAACAGGATGCGCGCCACCCGCTCCAGGCGCCGCTGCTGGCCCTCGCCCTCCTCGCTCAGCTTCGGCACGTACGTCGAGAGGGCCTGGATGACGCGCCCGATCTGCCGCGCCCAGCGCGCCGCCGCCGCCCACGCCGTGCACTCCACGTCAGCCTTCGGTAGCCGGGTGCGCACCACCGTCTTCACCTGCTTCCAGGCCGTCTCATGCGGTCCTGCACGACCCGCATGGTCCTTACGACCGGGGCCCATGATGTCGAGCTTGCCCAGCAGCTCCTGCTCGATGCCGCACACGATGCGGCCCCCAGGCTTCGCCAGCACTGGCACGGCATACGGTTGCCTGGCCACGCGCACCCACAATCTGCACGCAAACAGGCCTATGTGGTGACAAGTTGGCCGTCATGCACACCTCAGGCACCGAAGTGCGTATAGCCATGTTCGCACTCTTCACAAAGAAGTCAATCACCGAGCCAGGAATGCTCCGGGTGCACGTGGGAGTCGTAGTGGCTATTACCACGCCGCCGATAGAAGCCGCCCAGGCTTTCAACAGCGCTGGCTGCCTATTGAAGCCCGCACCCAGCACCCAGTCAAAGCCAAGCGCCTGCACCCGTTGAATATAGCTGGCAACGTCAGTTAACAAGCGTATATTGTTAGGTCCGAAAAGCTCGTCCACCCACAAGTACGCAGAGATCGCTATGAACCCGCCTTCCATCTTCGAGTGGATGTGGGCAGCTACGGCCCTAGCGGGCACGAGCGCCCCCGAAATCGACAGCGGCGGGCAAGTGACCTGCACGTTGGCGGGGCACAGCACTGCCACCCCGCCTCGCGACCCTCGGGGTCTCGGTAGCCTCCGCCGCCGTCCACGCACCATGATACCCAGCAGCCGCAAGCCGAGCCTGGAACGGGCCCAATTTGTCGCCGAGCAAGTGGTGCTCCTGGCAGCAAATCACCGAGGGCCTCGATCCCAAGGGCGGCTGCTCGGCCTCCAGCATCTCAGCCAGCGGCCCATGAGAGGAAGAATTCACTGTAACAGTCTGCATCATCATAGGTCGGATGAGGTACACCAGGCTAGGCAGAGCAGCGCTGCTTCTTGGCGAAATTGGCGAGCGACCCGCCTGCCCTCTTGACCGCCTCGCGCAGCTCACCCTCATCCTCGGGCACCTGCACGTTGACCGACTGGAGGAAGGCCCGCAGCACCTCGGGGTCCCCGTCAGCGTTGGGGATCCAGGTCGGCGTGCCTGGTGCCGCAGCGCCAGGCGCGGCCGCGGGGGCGGCAGCGCCTCCGTGGCCCTGGCCCGCAGCTTACTGCTGCGCCGCAGCTTCGGCAGCGCGTCGCTGCTGCTCGGCACGGCGCGCCGTTTCAGCAGCGCGCACCTCCTCCAAGCAGCCGTGGAGCCGCGTCGCCAAGTCGCCTGACCCGCCGAAGGAGGCGAGCAGCTCGCCCAGCTTGGCCACCGAGATCTCCTCGGAAGCGACTGGCAGCACTTGCGCCAACGACGGCGTCTCGCCAGCCTGCGGGCGCGGCACTTGCGCCACCAGCTGGCGGCGCTCCTCCTCGAGCTCCAGGAGCTCGGCGGCAAGGCGGCCCAGCACCAAAGACGCCTCGACGACCGCCGCCACTACCGTGCGCACCTTCTCGCGCAGCGTGACAAGGTGCTCCTCCTGCTTACCCTTGCGCTTCTCCAGCTTCTGGTGCTGAAAGGAGATCTCTTTGAGCCGAGTGTCCAAGCTCTTGCCCGCCACGAGCCTCTTGCGCAGCTCGCCTTGGCGCGCACGGAGATTCTCGCGGGCCTCCACCAACTCGGCGCACGACGTCTGCTCCAACGCCGCGAGGTGGGAGCCCACGTCCGCCAACTCTCGCTTGAGGTCAGCGTCGGGCCCTTTGCCGAAGCCGAGCTCGTCGACCTCCACGGCATCCACCCCGCCGCCGCCTGGTGCATGCTGCTGGCCCTTGAGCTTCGACAACTCGGCCCGCAGCTTCTTGATCTCAGCCTCGTGGCCGCCAGAGGCACCTGCTGCACGGATGCTCGTGCTGGGCGCTTGGCCGACGACCTCCTTCGTACCGCCGAACGCGGTGCCCTTGTGCTCCTTGCACAACTGGCACGTATCCTGATCCGCTCGATTCCACCACCGATCCCCCGTCGAATGGGACCAGCAGTGCTTGCAATACCACGGCTTCGCCCATGCAACCCTCTGCTTCTTGTGTCCACTCTGGACAGGCCGAAGAGCATCCTGCTTGGCAGGAGGCACCATGAGCCAGCCGTGGTGAAGGTCGGCGCGCGCAGGCGGGCACCTGCACGGCAAAAGGCGCGCCGAGAAAGTTGGGTATGCGAAAGTGCCCTGGCTGGTGTTGTCAGGGGAAAGCAGCTGGGGCCGTGTGCACCTCTGATGCGCCCCCAATGCCAGGAAGAGCTCTGTCCGCTGCTGACGATCGGGCCACGCTACGGACTTGAGCCAAAATGGCTACGGAAGAGGACAAGCAGGAGGAAAACGTGGAGGATGAGGAAGGATGAGGGCGAGGACGAACAGCAGCAGAAGGAATCAAAGTTGAAGGAGTGGGAGGAGCAGAGGGCCCAGGGGAAGGCGGAGAAGGGGAAATGAGGGGGTGACATCGATGAAAAAGAACTCGGATCCAGAAAATTGGCCCGCGTTGGGGCGAGAGCGCCATTCTGAACGACAAAGACAAAGAGCCGATCCGAAATGAGGCCCACGCTGGAGCGGGAACACCATTTTGAAACACCAAAAACAAACGGATGTTTATATAAAATGGAAAACCAACTCGGCCCAATCCTGTGTGTAATAATACGCGAAGAGAAGCTGGAGACCTTCTGGCCAGACTCAGAGGAGAGAGGAGAGTAGTATTCATAGTGTGTAACTGTGGAGGAGGAAGAAGAGGAGAGGAGGAGGAGGAGAGGAGAGGAGAGGAGAGGAGAGGAGAGGAGAGGAGAGGAGAGGAGAGGAGAGGAGAGGAGTGAGGAGAACGAGGAGAAGGAGGAGGAGGACGAGGGCGAGGACGAGGAGGCGAACTGGGGCGGGCGATCGTGATGTGTGTTCCCTGTTTTTGGAACCTCCTGCGGCTCTCGTCGGCACCACTGGGCTCTCTTCGAAGTCCTGGTCAGAACGCGTTCCAGGAGAGGTCCTGGAGCCGAATTTTGTGCAGAGGGAGGCGGATGAGGGGGAGGAGGAGGAGGAGGAGGAGGAGGAGGAGGAGGAGGAGGAGGAGGCGGAGGAGGAGGAGGAGGAGGATCAGGATCAGGACCAGGATCAGGATCAGGATCAGGCGGGGAAGGAATAGTAGGAGAATGAGAAGATCGAGGAGTGGACGGCGGAGGAGAGGAAGCGAGGACATGAGGCACGACGAGGACGAGGACGAGCAGGGTTGTGGACCCGGCCTGCCCGAGGAGGTGGAAAAGATCTGGCCCGCATTCGCCAAGGCTCGCGCCGCTCCTGCACGGGGTGGGGGCCTGCGCGAGCTCTTCCGAGTGCTAATACCAGCGGTCGGCCTTTCCACGGTTCAGTGCAAAAGGGCGGGTTCCTCATCCTCATCCTCCCCTTCCTCGTCAAAACTCTGCTCTGCTCGACGGCTATTACAAGGAGAGCCAGTCTGAGTTGAAGTTCCGCATGGCTCCGCGGGGTGGGAGTCAGACTGTTGAACGGATTGCACGCTCCTCCTCCTCCTCCTCGTCCTCCGTCTCCTTCTCCTCCTCCTTCTCCTCCTCCTTCTTGACGTCCGGCAAACTTCGATCAATTGGGATCGTAGCGTCAGGATAGGTGTGAAAATGCATGGCATTGAAACCGACTCAGGCGTTGTGGCCTTAAAATTGGATTACAAGCACGTGCGGAAGTAAAATGTGCATCGAGAATTGGAATGGATCTGGCGCGACCCCAATTAGGGGATTTCCTTTTGAAAATGAACCAACCCGGAGCGAAGTCGACGAAATGAACCCGGCGCGCCCGCGCAATTGAAATCCACAATGAGTTTGAGTCACCCGGTCGCGAGCATCACCGAACGCGTGAAATGGTGCAGATTGACGTGGTGGCATGATGGCATGTACGTGCATCAGCGAACGCGTAACACGGTCGAGTCTGGTGTGGCGGCGACGGGGAACCCGAGGAACCCGGGGAACCTGAGAAACTTCTGAGCAACGGGCAACGTAAGAGTCGGAGGCATTGGGGGCGAGGAACCCGGGGAACCCGAGGAGCCTGGGGAATTTCTGAGCAATGGGCAACGTGAGAATCGGACGTCGGAGGCACCGAGGGCGAGGAACCCGGGGAAGTTCCGAGCATTGGGCAACGTAAGAATCCCAGGCAACTAAGCGAGAATTCCTTTGGCAAGCCTATTTGCGGAAAAAAGACGAGGTGCTCGCAATGGCGTGTGGAGTAATTCCGCATGCAGCCTGTAAAGGAGTAGGAGTCCCCGACTTCCTTCCTCGTCCTCCTCTTCTTCTTGTTCCTCCTCCTCCTCCTCTCCCTCCTCCTCCTCATCTCCCTCGTCCTCTCCCTCCTCATCCTCCTTCTCCTCCTCCTCCTTCTCGTCCTACTCCTGGTCCTCCTCCCACTCCTCATCACCTCACCATCCTCCTGTCGAATCTGGAGCTTAGTATCGCCAGTCATGAAGCCTCCGGATTTTCAAAACAGGCTCACCTCATGTTTCGTTGGACCATCCTCCTGCTTTGGTTGGGCCTCCCTCTGGCCTTGTTCCGAGGCTTCCGGAAGGGCCCGCGTTTGGCTTCCCGCGCGTGAACTCACAAGACACAATCCAGCACATCTTAATAATATTATGTCAGATTCCGTTGGGCGTTTTCTTGGGTGCCCCGAGCCTCCGATCCCGATTGGAGAGGCCTGACGGCCGGTGCCGCCGACCCTGATCGAAAGGGCTAGAAGTGGGGGGAGGAAGCGGAGGATGAGGAGGAGGAGGAGGAGGAGGAGGAACAGGAGGAGGAGGAGGAGGAGGAGGAGAAGGAGGAGGAGGAGGAGGAGGAGGAGGAAGTGCATCCTTTGTGTGCCCGCTCGAAGAAAGTGCGCCCCGGGAGTGTGATATTCTGACTTGGGACGTGCTCCCGGAAGAGGAAGAAGTGCATCTCGGGCGTGCCCGCTCGAGGAAAATGCGCCCTAGGGGGGTGGTATTTTGACTCGGGGCCCGCTCCCGGGACGCCTCTGCGAGGAGGAGGAGGAGGAGGAGGAGGAGGAGAGGAGCAGGAGGAGGAGGAGGAGGAGGAAAAGGAGGAGGAGGAGGACCAGGAGGAGGAGGAAGTGCATCCCGTGCGTGCCCGCTCGAGGAAAGTGCGCCCCGGCGGGCGTCGTATCTGCCCCGGGCCCCCCCCCCCCTCCCCCCCCCCCCCTGCGGGGAAGGGATCAAAGGGCAGGGGCTTCCCTTCGACTCTACTACGACGTCGTTTAATTTCGCTTTGGATAGCGCGCTTGAGGAGGAGAGCCCTGGGAGGGGGAGAACGGAGACGACAAAGACGACGAGTCGAACGGAGAAGCCCCTCACACACGCCGACAGGGTCGGCGGATTTTTGTTTCAACCGTGATGAAGGATCAGCGTCTTGGACACAGACACACTTCATATAAGGCTATGTCCTCCTTCTACTCCTCCGCCTCCTCCTCCTCATCATCATCATCAACAACCTCCTCCTCCTCATCCTCCTCATCCCACCTATCCGTTTCGCTTAATCCGCACGGCCCTGTCGTATCATTATTGGTATTGGGGATTGCGGAGGGTGCTGGGTTGCGGTCGTTGTCTTCAATTGCCGCGGAATCTCGCGCGTGGAGCAATAGTGGCAGGGCAGGTGCATTGCAATACTCACCGAAGCAAGCTCCCATCGAATTTCCGGAGCGGATTTGGGAGGAGTCTGAACGTTTGTTTTTGAGGGGGTTCTTTTCTTCGGGACCAACGTGTGCATATGGCCGGGCGTCGTAAGACGGTTGCGGGATAGATTGAATTTGTAGCCCCGCACCATACCAGCCATCCTGTGGCATGCGAATCATTGGCCCCCTCTCTTGGATGGCCACCTTTGAGTCTCTTGGGCGAGTTTCGGGGCCATCTCGGGCGATGCCACCCACTGATGATTGTGATGGGACCGACTTTGGGGCTCCCTTGGAGCCTTCTCAGAGTTGTCTCTTGCATCTCCTGGGGCGCTTTGGGGAAACTTTGGATGCCTCTCTTGGAGCCTTTTTTCCTGCCCCGACTTGGTACCTTCTTGAGCGATCTTGCAGCCATCGTGGAGCCACTTGTTTGGTGGCTGTCTTGGACAATCTTGGGCCACCTCGGGGCTATCTCGGGGCCTCATGGGCATGTACAGTATTGGGGGCCTCCCGAAGCTGTCTCGGAGCCATCTTGGGGCATGCCAGCCGTCAATCCCCGCTATTGGACTGCCCTGGGGCTATCTCGGGACGTCTTGGGGCTGCCCTTGGTACAGATTGGGGGCGTCGTGGGGCAATTTTGGGACCTGGCACCCCCTGGTGCCCGCTCTTGGGCCGCCATGGTTCCCTTGGGAACCAGTAAGCTTTGGTGCCGGGGGGCGGGCACAGACAAACAGGATCACAGGGACGATTATCGTCATCGTTGCCCACTCTTCGCCACCATCGCTGGCCGCCATTCGCCGAGAAGCCTCAGGCTTGGGCGCCCACGGTCCTTACCGCGCATCCTTATGATCCTGTCGCGCTGTAATATGCGGATCCGGGCCGACAGGGCGACGGGGGGGAATCTTCTGAGATGTCCGAGGGGCTCTTGATCGGGAGCCGTCCTGCCCTCTCGGCGGCATCCTTGGAAGCATCCGGCCTCCTCCACGATCCGAAGGCGCCAAAGAAAATGTTCATAAGGCCAGAGGGTTTCTGAAGAAAATCGCCGCCATCTGAGAAGGCCGCCTCCTGGTTTTCCCCCGGGGCGCGCCGCCGAATCTTTTACTTGGGCCGCGATAGTTCGGGGTAGCAAGGGCTGCATAAAAGAGACCTTTTAGGGCCCCTGAAGGAGCGCTTTAGGGCAGCAAAGGAAGCCTTTAGGGCACGAGAAAGGAACCTTTCTTCCATTAATTGGCGCCCAGTATACTCCCCCCTCACCTCGTTTGCCGACGCCCCGCCCCTCCCCGCCAGGTTGCGCCCTCGCTCTCTCCCCTCTGCTGCTCCCCGCTGGGGCTCTCCCTCTCCCTAAGGGCCAGGGCTCGGCCGAAACGGTCCTTTTTGGCGATGTCGTGGAGCGATTTCGTTTTGACTTCGTCCCGCAGCAGAGGCGGAACGAAGGCAGGGCGAGGGAAAAGTATGCGAAAGCGAAACGAAAGCGGAAAGCATTGCTTACAGTCAACCCGCACAGTAAGGATGAGCAGCTTTCCAGGGTTCCCCCTGCATCCTTCCCCTTCGGCCCATCCTTGGCCGCTTTCGCTGGCCGCGCCCCGCTCGCAGAGTGTCGACATGGCTTCCCGAGGCCCTTGCATCGCGCGTCCTCATTCTACGGGTTGACTGTAGATCGAGCCCTGCCCCAGGCGTGCAGCCTGGACGGGAAGGCGATGCAGGAGGACGGCGCCACGGGAGGGGGGCCGCCGCTCCGTCCCGTCGCCCCGGTCGCGCCGCGCCCGCGGTGAAGACGCCGATCCCTGGGATCTGGGCGCTGCACTGTTTCGGCGGCGCGCCCAGGGGGGGGAGGTTTGGGAAACAAATAGCAAGAATATCTACACAAGTATATGTGTGCAAGTGTGTACAGGTTGTTAGTTTAATAATAAATAAAGAAATAAGTAAATAAATAAATAAGTAAATAAGTAAATTCGTGAATGCTATCAATAATTAACGTAATGATACTAATAATAATGATGATAATAATGATAATAATAATAATAATAGTAATAATAATAATCATCATATTAATGATAGTATTAATAATAATAATAATGATAATAATGATAACAACAACAATAACAATAACAATAACGATCATAATAGCAAGAACAATAACAACAACAAATTAATAGTAATGAATAAATCCACAAATGCATCAAATTCCTACTCGTACATTTTTCTATAGGCCCGGGGACCCCAGAAAAAGCGCCCGCCCCCCCAACGAATTTGGCCCACCCCGAGCCTTTCAGGAAGCCCCCCAGACGACCTGGGAGGACCTCACGGGAGCTCGAAGACTGCCCCAGAGGGCCCCCGCCGTTCCGGCGCGCTCCGGAAACGACCCCAGAGAGCTCCAAGACGGTCGTCGACGACCCCGAAGGAGCCGTCATACCCTGGAAGATCGGCTCCAAAACGTCCCAAGAGGCATCAAAGAGCACTCCCAAGAGGGCCCCAAGAGGCAAAATTCATAGATTTTCTGTTAGTTTGTGGGGGATGTTTGAGATCTCCTTTCTTCGGCTTCCCGACAGACGGCCCACGAGGCCCCCAAGATCGCACTAAGATGGCCCGACAGACCTCCAAGAGGGCCCCAAACCGGCCCAAGAGGGACAGGCCCAAGAGGGCCCCCAGACAGTCCCGACAGGGCCCCAGGAGGCCCCAGGAGTCTCCCAAGAAGCCCCGACGAGGCCCCAAGAGGCCCCCAAGAGGCCACTAGGAAGCCCCAAGAGGTCCCCAAGAGTCCCAAAAGATCCCGCAAGGACCCCGCAGAAGTTCGAGATCGCTCCAAAACGTCCCAAGAGGCCTCCAAGAGCACTCCCGAGGAGGCCCCACGAGGCACAATTGTTTTCGCTTCGCGAATCCCCACCAGCCCATCCTAAAGCAGTCAGTCTAGGGAAAAGTACCGTCTATCCAGAGACGACGCCCAGAGGATTTGCCTCGATCAGGGAAGTGGGCAGCACACAGAGGAAAGGTCCCTCTTGGAGCGTTCTTGGGACACTCTTGGGCGCTCTTGGAGCCGTCTTGGGGCTCTCTTGGGCCTCTCTTGCGTCTTGGGGGCCTCTTGACGGTCCCAGGGACCTCTTGGAGCGTCTCGGGGAGCTTCTTGGGGCCTCTTGCCTCCTGGGCGCCTCTTAGGGCCCTCTTGAGGCGATCTTGGGAGCCTTGAAAGCGCTCTTGAGGCCATCTTGGAGGCCTCGGCTCAAAAAAGAGCGCGGCGTCAATTATGCCCCCCCCCCCCCAAGAGGGCAAAATTGGGCCCATAAGCTTAGTAAAACCAATGATTTGGGTTTCCTCGCCGAGGCCGTTTTGGACGCTCCAACGACCCGCGCGCCCCCCTCCAGGCCCAGGGGGAGGGGGTAGGGAGAGTGATCAAAACACCCTCTCCGCACGCAAGCCGTCTAGCTCACTCCCACGCGCCCTCCCACCACATAACTGGCATCCGAGTCTCGGCATAGCCAGGGGTCGCCACTGGATGGACAGCCACTGGGAACCAAAGCGGACGCCAGGTGCGCGACGCTCACCGCGGGCTCCACGTGCGGTTGGTGTGCTATCCTTGTAAAAACGTGATGCCCCCCAGTCCGCATGGTCCAGATGCTGATGTGGGGGGCGTCAGCATTGTTCCGGGCCTGCGCACAGCAAGCATCATCATGCGGGCACCACCGCCGACCCTGTCAAAAAGCAATACAGAGTGATCGCGGGTGGCCAGCACAATACCCACGACGTTGTCGCAACGTGCAAGCTGCTTTGTTTTTGACACGGATTGTGGTCCTGCACAAAGCGGCTTCACTCAGGGTGCCACGCCGTCCCTGTCAAAAAAACTGTACAATGTGCTCACCGAGCGCCAGCGCACTGTCCAGATGTTGCTGCAATGTACACTTCGTAGTGTTTTTGGGGACAGGGATTGTAGAGGGTGTTGGCAGGGTGGGCCCAGTAATGTGGATGTTGTATTGTTTTTTGAAAGGGATGGCGGGGGGGGGCCGCATGGTTCTGGGTTGGCTGCCAGCCAGGTGGGGGAGGGGGTGTTTATAAATAGGGAGCAGTGATGAACCCCTCCCCGAAGGGGAAGAAGGGGGTTGGACAGAGGGGGCTTTCTAAACCACTCATGCCCTACAGGACTCGTGGGAATCATTGATTTTCGGTTGGTTTTGTGGAGGATGTTTGAGTTCTCCCCTTTTTGGCTTTCCGACGCTCCAAGACGGCCCACAAGGCCCCCAAGATCGCCCTAGAACGGCGCGACAGACCTCCAAGAGGGCCCCAAACCGGCCCAAGAGGGCACCAAACCGGCCCAAGAGGGCCCCCAGACAGTCCCGACAGGGCCCCAAGAGGCCCCAGAAGGTTCCCAAGAAGCCCCGAAGAGGCCCCAAGAGGCTCCCAGGAAACCCCAAGAGACCCCCAAGAGTCGCAAAAAACCGCAAAGACCCACCAGAAGTTCGAGATCGCTTCAGCCCACGAGGCCCCCAAGATCGCCCTAAGATGGCCCGACAGACCTCCTAGAGGGCCCCAAACCGGCCCAGGAGGGTCCCCAGACTGTTCCGACAAGGCCCCAGGAGGCTCCCAAGAGGCCCCGAGGAGGCCCCAAGAGGCCCCCAAGAGTCCCGAAAGATCCCGCAAGGACCCCGCAGAAGTTCGAGATCGCTCAAAAACGTCCCAAGAGGCTTCCAAGAGCACTCCCAAGATGGCTTCACGCAGCAAATGTCATTGATTTTCCATTGGTTTGTAAGAGATTTGAGCGTTCTCCCCTTTGCGGCTTCCCGACGCTCCAAGACGGCCCACGAGGCCCCAAGATCACCCTAAGACGGCCCGACAGACCTCCAAGAGGGCCCCAAACCGGCCCAAGAGGGACAGGCCCAAGCTGGCCCCCAGACAGTCCCGACAGGGCCCCAGGAGGCCCCAGAAGGTTCCCAAGAGGCCCCGAGGAGGCCCCAAGAGGCCCCCAAGAGGCCCCCAGGAAGCCCCACGAGGTCCCCAAAAGTCCCAAAAGATCCCACAAGGACCCACAGAAGTTCGAAAACGCCCGAAAAGGCTCCCAAGACAAGCCGAAAACGGGCCAGGAGCCCGAACATGACTCCAAGACAGCCCAACGAAGCCAATATGTGCCCCAAGACGGGCCCAAGCCGTAACGGGACTGCACCACGTCACAACGAGGCATTCAGAAGGCTCCGGGAGGCTCCAACAAGGTCCGCGTGACGTTAGCATTCTGAACGCGAGGCTTCCCAAGAGCGTACGGCGGCGCAGAACAATTTCAGCGTCGAGCCTTGCTGCGGCACGGCCCCGGGGCCCCCCGAGGCCCACGCACGGCTCCTTCCATAGTCCCAAAGACACGGTCATTGGTAAGCCCAGGTCGCCGTTCCACATTCTGCAGTGTCCTCCATGCCGTCTCCTACCCAAGTCTTTCGGCACTCGCAAGCCCTTCACTGCGTTTCTGGCCCCCCCTTTCTGTGGCCACGACCGCATACATGTACATAGGTTTGCCGATGTGTGCACGTAGAACTGCCCAAATAGACATGATACATATGTATGCGCAAGCACGTACATATATATATATATATATATATATAGACACGCATATGCATTACATAGACATGTACATACACATATACATATACACATACACATACACATACATATACCTACACATATACATATACATATATACATACCGACATACAGACAGACAGACAGACCGACATACATCGATATACGCACACGTAGATTGACATGTATGTACAGGTGCCTGTGTATATACATATAAAATATATGCGTATATCTACATATGTTTTGCGTGCATGCACGTGCGCGCGTGTGACATGTATGCACATATCCGCGCGCGCATGTGCACGCGCACGCACGCCGCCCGCGTGCGAAACTTGAAGGAACAAGGTGCATGGCGCGAAGCGCCACTGCAGTCTTGTGTTTATATGTTTGTATATATATATATACATACATATACACATATATATATATATACATATATATATACATATGGATTAACATGTGGCTTGTTTGTCTCTGGATTGCGTCGAGAGCCGACTCCTTACACGTTTGTGCTCAAGCTTGAACAGGCCCACACCCCATGCTCGCAGCAGCTCTCTCCCCATACCTCGGACACGTTTCCCAGGTAGCTGTATCGTACCTCTTTCGGTGCCCATCGGCACCTCCGTGCCCTGTGTACCCAGGCTGCCTGACGACGTACCCGTGCCCGCCGTGCACAGCCTGTCCGCCGTGCCCTGGGGCCCCGGCACCGATCCTCCATGAGTGCCCGGCCGCCGAGACATCCCGGGCTGAGGCGCCCCAGCTGGGCGCTGTCGACTATTGGTGGGTGCTGCTTGCCATCGTGCTGGGTTTCGCTTTCGGGACCGTGGGCAGCTGCGCGCTGCGTGCAGTTCTCCGCCTCATCAGCCCCCGCCTGACGACGACCACGTCTGTTGCGGATTCTGAAGTCTTCGCTGATGCCCGACTGCTGGGCGTGGGTGCTGTACGTCGGCGACCGGCTCTGGCATCAGCGTCTGGTGTTGGATCACTTGCGACCACAGGGGCCGAATCGGATTGACACGTCGAGGCTCATCATCTGCACTCCAGATGGCGACGTATACGACGAAGACTATTCGAGGCGGTCGGCAGACATCGCGGAGATCCGCATGTGTCCTGATCGCAACCGGCCTTTGGGCTCGCGGCGCCGTCGAGCTACCGGTTCCGCCGAGCCCCGACAGCGCGGAGGTGGCGACCTACCAGGCGGCGGGTGAGACCTACGCGGCGGCGGCGCTCGCCGCCGAGGCGGCCGCTGCTATACTGCACTTCGTCGCCCCTGCTGCTGGCTGCCTGGTGCCCCTCGTGGTCGGCGGCCCTGCTGCCGCCGCGGCCGCCGGGGCTGGCGGCCCGGCGATGGCCCCGGCCCCCGGGGCCGCCGCCGGCGCCGCGCCGGCCGCGGGCGCCGCGGCCCCTGGCGCTGTAGTGGGTTGCCGTCGAGAGCACGACGTTTGCCCAACGTGGCGAGGTGGTGGCTCTCCCAGACGACGACGCCGTGGTGCACGGCGACCTGGCCATCATGCGGTCGCCTGCTGAGCTCAGCGTCGCGCTCCGGAACAGCCAGGCCGTGGACGCAGCGGTGTACTCAACGCTCGAGGCGGTGCGATACCCTCGCACCCTCGGCGGCTCCGCGCTCGCGCTGGCTAAGCCTCGCCGCGGCTGGAGCGACAAATACCGAGAGCTGGCGGAGACCCCGCACTCGACTTGGTCGGTGCCGGGCCCTCGCACGGTGAAGTGGCGCGCGGAGTGGATCGAGCGGCGGTCGCCGACTCCACTTGTTCATCATAGGCAGTTCGTCAGCACGTTCGGGCTGCGGCCAAACGCCTGGGGGGTCGAGACCCACGTCGCCGCGTTGCGCGCGCTAGAGGAGACCGCCTGCTACGATGGCGCGAACATCGGTGACTTGGCCGGCAAAGAGTGTCATGCGCAAGGCCGAGCTCACGGAGCACGTTTACTGGATGGACTCGATGGGTGTTTCGGAGAAGTCGGGCAACAAAGACAAGAAGCCGAACAGCTCGACGGCGACGTTCGTGGGCCTCATAGACGAGGCCGCCATCTTCTCGGGCCTGAACAAGGGTACAGGTTTCGGGAGGTAGAGAAGGATGTCGCTATCTTAGCAAGTTCGGAAAGCCAAGGAGGAGCGGGCTGCGCTCCTCAAGAAGTCACGACTGTTCTCCACGGCCCGGGCGAAGACTCTAGCTCGGCGTGTACTGATAGGCAACGTGATATCCTCCCTCTCCACTTCGACTGCCTGCGCGCGACGGGCTCGGTCTCGCAAGTTTTTTCTCGGCCGACTCGTCGGCGCCACCCCCGACAGGCACGCTCGGCCCGTTTCGCGGAGGCGAGGGGATTCGGGAAGCTCGCCCCGTCGAGGGCCCGCCCCCCCTTGCCCTGGGCGGCGGCGGCGCTGGTCATCACCGAGCTGCTGGCCCTCGGCCTGGTCGAGGCGGCGCGGAACTTCGCGTTCAACTGCCAGCCGTCGGAGCTGCCGAGGGCCCGCCGTCAGGGCCAGGTCGCCCCGCCGCGCGGCGGCCCAGTCACCCCGCGGAAGTGCAGCATCCTTCTCAACCCGATCGAGGGCGGAGCGCCCAGCAAGACCGCCGTCTTCGACGAGAGCCTGCTGAAGCTGAACGACAACGTGGAGTTCCTCTGGGTCAGCCAGGTCCTCGAGGCGATCAAGAGCCGCGGCAAGCCCGACGATCCGACCGTCGGGCTGACGCACGGCAAGCGGCGCCCCCAGTTCCAGCCGTCGGTGCTCGCGCTCCCGCTGTCCGCTCTGATGCCCGCCTCACTGCACCAGCTGCAGCACGGGGGCGCCAGCCACGAGATCCTCGGGGGCGGCCGCGACATCACGGGCGCGAAGAAGCGCGAGCGCTGGCAGTCGGACGCGCCCCTCTACCGGCACGTCGAGGCCGGCCGACTGAACGGGCAGCCGCAGCGTCTCGACGCGCCCATTCACGAGGTCGCCGCAGAATGCGCCGTCCCGTTGCCGCCAATGATCCTCGCACCATCCCGAGCCTGCTCGCTACTCCAGAGGAGGGGTTTACATTAGAGCTCTTTGTTGGGCAGGCTCGCTGGGCAACCGCTTGGCGATCTACGCCCGGCCTTCGACACGCACCCGCGTTTGCCATCGATATCCGCTCCCACCCGCGACCTCACCAATCGGGCTTTGGCCCGCCTCGTTCGCGGCTGGGTCCGCTCTGGAATGCTGATGGCCTTGTGGCCCGGGACCCCGTGCACGACGCTTTCGATGGCCAACCGGGAGGGTCGACGGTCCAGGCAGCATCCCAGCAGAGCCCCGGGCTTGCCCGACCGCTTCTTGTCCAGAGTTCAGGAGGCCAACGAATTGAGCTCCTTGTCGGCCGGCTTGTTTCGCCTCGCTCGCTCCACGTGCGTCCCCGCCACAATCGAGAACCCTCATACTAGTCGTATCTGGTCTATGCCAGTCTAGTCTCAGATCCTAAGGTATTCGGATCTCGACACAGCTGTGTTGGATTACTGCGCGTGCGGTATGCCCTGGACGACAAGGACTCGGTTCGTTTCGGCCAACGTTGTCCTATCTCACATGCCTTTTAGATTCCACGGTAGATACGCGAGTCTGTGACTACACCGGCAAGCCTCACATATGTCTCCAGGGTCATGACACACATCATGTACACCGTACCAAAGTAGTTGACCCCGTAAATTGTGGATTGGTATTATCAGGTCCTACGTTTCCGCTATCCTATCAATTCGTAAATGTACGATGGTGGTATAGTTTCTACATGTGGGTTGTGGGTTTAAAACGGCATACCAGTTTCTCCCTTTGGCTGGAAACGCGGTTTTGGTTGAGCTGGTGCAAGCGGTTACCCTTTTATGTCAAGGTACGTGTGCTCTACGCGTGGCGTTGTGACTCCTGACGAGATCAGCACACAGATCGAAGCTTGTTGGCGAGGAAAACGGCTGGCCCGTCAAGCACATTTTCGATCATAAATGTTTATATATAATGTGATACATACATACATACATACATACATACATACATACATACATACATACATACATACACATATGTGCGTGTGTGTGTGGATGTGCGTGCGTGGAGCGGTAGGTTTTTGGCCCTGTTCGGTTCCAGGCGCCCTCGCAGGGCCTCGGGACCGACAAACGGCTCGGAACGAAAACCCTGCCCCAGGGGAGTGGTCCAGACCCCCGGGGCCCATTGAAAAAAACGGCCAGATGTCTGGGGGAAGTGAGAGGGGGCAGGCCTCCTCAGAAGGTGGCGGGGCTTTTCAGAAGCCCTCCAGCCTTCTAAGAAGTTCTCTGCGTCTTCGGGGAATACTCAGGAAGCTTCTCAGGAGTTCCGAGGCCCTCGGAGCCTTCTGAGAAAGCCCGCCTCTTCTCACTTCCCCCCTCCGCTCGCCGCCGAATGTTTTCACAATGAGCGTTTTCGCCGGATTTGGGCGTCGAGCATGGCCAGGAACCTTAGGTGATGGGGCGCCGATTAGTGATTGGGCCTCGAAGCCCAAAAATTGAACCAGAATCACTAGACCATGTCTGCCGTAGCAGGTGCTCTTTCGGGTGACGGCAGTTCTGGTTAGCGGAGCTTGGCAGGGGGAGACCGCCAATAAAAGACATTCGGGATGGAAAATTTGTCCTAGGGCAGAGGTCCAGACCTAACTAGGGAGAGCCACGTTGTGGAAAAAACGGCGCTGGATACCTTTTTCTGGCCTCGGCCAGGATGGTGTGTAGACCTTTCCTGGCCTCGGCCAGGATGGCGTATACACGTGTACACATGGTGGGGCCCAGGATGGTCTTGGCCAGGCACGATGGTGATGTGCGCCGTCTGCGTGTCCCAACTTGCTGTGTTGGATCAGCTGTGATTTCTGGGCTGGGCCGTCGAGGATATGATTGGGTGCTCGCTTGACCCCTGCCTGCTAGTGGGGCAGGTGGACCACCGTCCTCCGCATCTGCAAGAGGATGAGGGAAAAGGAGGAGGGGGAGGAGGCGGGGGAGGAGGAGGCGGAGGATGAAAGAGAAGGAGGAGGAGGAGGGGGAGGAGGCGGAGGCGGAGGCGGAGGTGGAGATGGAGGAGGAGACAGGAGGAGGACGACGACGACGACGACGACGACGACGACGACGACGACGACGACGACGACGACGACGGTGGGGAGGAACAGGAGCCAGCAAGGGAGGAGGACGAAGGAGGAGAAGAAGGAGGAGGAGGAGGGGCGCCGCTGTCTTCTGCTGGGCCCCCTCCGCGGTCCGCACGGGGGACGCGGCTGCCGCCACCCCGCCCCGTTGCCTGGAGGACGCCGAGGCGGTGGCCAGCTGGGCCAAGAGCACATCGCCGGCCCAGGCCGCGACGGGCGGGCGCTAGGCGGCCGCGCTCAGGCGGCCGCTTGCCACTCACAGCGCCCTTCGCCTTGCCTTCTCCTGTTTCCTCCGCTTCCCTGGGAGGAGGAAGAGGAAGAGGAAGAGGAGGAGGAGGAGGAGGAGGAGGAGGAGGAGAAGGAGGGAAAAGATAAGGAAGAGGAGAAGGAGGAGGAGGACGACGACGACGAGGGGGAAGGAGGAGGAGGGAGGAAGGGGAAGAGGAGGAGGAGGAGGAGGAGGACGAGAAATGTTTGACGAGCTGGATCTGGGCCCCCGTGAGGCCGAAGTTGTGGATGTTAACGCGAATGATGAACATGTGGTCTATGTTCTTCGGGAGGCGGCCTGAATCAAACACGGTGAGGAATACACTCCCAGGAACCAGAATTTCCGGTGATATTGAAGTACCAGCACGGGGCCACAAAAATATCTCCGGGAAGAACGTGATGACCCCATGTTTTCTGTTGTTGGGCCCATCAAACAAGGCCCTGGATTTTAATCTAGCCATGTGGAGAAAGTCATAGACATCTTCCACGGACCCATGGGACTCTTGTACAGCAACAATGTCGAAACCAACCAACAGGCCATGGAGGTACTTATCTCACGGGTTCGTATGTTTGGGCGGTGGTTGAATAGCGTTCTGGCGTTCAACGTAGCGAGGCCTAGCCCAAGGGAGCAAGCTGCACGGGATGGCAGCTTCAGCGAGCAGAACAGGTTGCTAAGGATACCACTCTTCGGACCCAATTCCTTGTGCGAAAAAAAAACTACCGATACTGGCGGCAAGCTCGGGCTTGAGCAAATTGAGGGCACCGAGGGCCTTCTGGTCAGACTCAATGACAGGAGTATCGTCATACTTCGGGGTAGCGTTGAGGAGTGCACGCCATTGATATGAGATATTACCTGCGCGCCTGTCTGCGAAGAAGGACTTGTCAGGGCACTTTTCCGAGAGGAAGCGCTTGATAGGCTGGAGGTCGAGTTCTCTGCGGATTTGGGCAAGGTTCATGTCGCTGGACACGAAGAGTTTGACGTTCTGTCGCTGGGCCGAGAATGCAGAGAATCGGCGGAAAGAGCCGCCCACGAGCTCGACGTTGTTGAGGGCCTGAGCCACCATGCGAGCGGCCCACCCAGGGGGGCCTTTGAGACAGTGAAGCGCGTGCCTGCGGGCCCCCCAACAGCCTGCCAGGCTTCCTGGTCGAAGTTGGAAGCTGCCAGCCCTCTGCAAGCCCTTCGCATGCAGCTTCGCGACTGACAACAGCGGCTGCCCTGAAGACGAGGATGGCGGGGTCAGTCTTGCGATGGGAGGCGGCCGACGGAGCGACCGCTGGAGGCTCTTCTGCGCGCGCCACTTCGAGAAGCTCCTGGAGTTCACGAATCTGCGGCCATGGCGTCGAGCTTGGAGCCCTGGGCGTCGAGGCGGCGCTCAGCCTCGCCGATGCGGGCGTCGACCTGCTGCTCCAGGTTCGCGCAGTGCTTGGTGCACGTTTCGGACAGGGTGGTGAGCCCGCGCTGCATGCTCTGGATGGAGGCCATGACGTTATTATTGGCGACATCGACGCAGGCGCGGAGACACTCGATGTCCGTCGGGTCACCGGGGCCGGGGCCGATGGCGTCGAAATCGTCGAGGCCCCGCGCAGCTGCGGCTGCAGCAGCATGACCTGACTGACGGCCGCGCGCAGCGCGGCCGCCGAGGAGCCCTTGCCACCGTTCGACTTGCCACCTGCGCGCTGGACCTCGGGCGGTCGACGCAGCAGCGCCCACAGAGGCCGAACGACCGCCGCGATCTGCATGCGCCACGGGGCAATCATACTACCCACAGAGAGCGCCGCGCTCAAGAAATGGAGGGGACCGAGGGCGGAGAGAAACAACGGCGCCCGCCTGCGCGCGACGCGCAGGATCGCTCGAAGACAGAGCTGCCCGCCCAGCCGGGACCTGTTCCCACTTGAGCCAAAATGGCTACAGATGTCTCCAGAACGTTACCTCGCGGCCCTCGCCGGGGACCTCGATCTCTCGGAGCAAGCGCCCCGCCCTGCCCCGCCCCCCTTCCTCGTCGGCCCCTGCCCCGGATCAAGCTGAGAGGCGCCGCCAAGGTAGATCCCTCTCGGGGGGGCCCCACCCAGAAGTTCCTCGTCGAAGGAGGATACGCACTCCAATGGCGCAATACAGCACCATCCAAGATAGACGGGGTCCTCGCCTCGCCCCCGAGCTGGCAGATCACGCAGACGCACGCATCCGCGAACGCGCGGGATCTCCCCGAGACGCTAGAGCAGCAGAGCATGTCTGAGCATGCGCCGCTGCAGGTTGCTCTCCCCCATCGCCCACCCCAGCCATCCCCCCTCGCAGCCGGCCCCGAAAGCCGTCTTCAAACATCCCCCCAGCGCTTGGAAGAACGTTGGGGGAAGCTGAATCCGACGACGACGACGCCTCCGACATGCCGACACGATTACGACTGTTCAAGATGGCCGTGAGAGAAGCCGCCAGATACGCCCGAAACGCGATGTTCAAGAACGAACCAAACACGACGACGACATCGAAAATCACCCCCTTCCGCTCGATTGCACGTGCTGCATGGCGCCAATGCGAGAGCATCTCGCTGTGGACGTTGAGTCTCGCTGCGTCTCCCCGGTGCACCCTGCTTCGCTTGCTTCGGCCAATGGCGCTCTTCAGTCTGCTGCTGCGGAGGAGGGGCAGAGACTGGTTAGGGATAGCTTACAGTCCGACGACTTGCGGGCGCAAGCAAAGGCACGTAAACGACTTCGCTTGCCGGCAGAGCGCGGCAAGCTGCGGGCGCCGCTCGACCGCGCTATCCACTTGATTGGCCTGCGCTCCGACGGAAACGCCATCACCTCCCCCGCCCAGAACTCCCAGAAGATAATCGAACATCGGGGCCAAGTCTTTGAGCAGAAGAATTTGACAATGTCGCCGCTAACGCGCACCTCTCCCGCCTCCCAAACCACGCCGACCTCGCCGACCTCCCACCCCCGTGCTCATAGATGTCCAGTCCTATGTGGCTAGGCAGGCTCGCTCCGCCCCGGGTCCAAATGCGCCCCCCCTTGCACAGTGCTCGGCAGGCCTCTATCTTGGGATCTCAAGTACGGTGCGATGCTCTGCGGCGGCAGCTGGAAGGGGGCCCCATGCCTATCGGGCACAACAGCATGCTCGACATTTTCGCTCCCAGAGGAGAAGACCCCGAGGACTCGCCACATGGGGTCGCCAGACAGGTTTCAGAGCTCCGCCCCCAGAGCCTCAAAACCACGGGTAACAAGATGATAACAGGCGTTGCGCTCTGGCAACTCAGTCGCCAGCCCCCCCGCCATCGTCAATCACATTCAGAGGGGCTTCGTGGCTACCCGCAAAGTTTGGAAACAATCTAGTTGAGCTCGACGCTCACGGCCGCATCCACTCCACGCAGCAGCCCACCCCCGCAGCCACGCCTTTCCGCGCAGGGTTCAATTTCGGTCAGCCCCCCTCCCCCCCAGCTCGGCGCACAGCTGGATCCTCAGAGCAATCAGTGCCATGGCCCTGCCGCCGCCGCCCAAGCTGTTCACGCCCTTTCTTCTCTCGGGCGCATGCTGCCACGGTACCATGCTTAGAGAGCACACTACGCTTATGGTCCATGTGCTGCCTTTTTTCGAGGATGTCCGAGCTCGGGGCGTCTCCTCGCGCTGTCGGCTAACCCATGAATGATTGACTTCGACAAACCCACATGCGCCCCTGAACGCGGAGTCATTCGCGCGCGTGCTGGCGGCGTTGGCGCGGCGCTCATGGACGCGCGACACATGAAGATCATGTATCACAATTTCTCCGTGGCCGAAAGAGCATCGGCGCTGACCTTAAAGATTCGGAAGTGCACCATTGCCCCCTAGCCGACGCGTTATCTCAGAATTCGGCTGTTGATTATAAGCAGGCCCTTCTATCAAACACACCCCAGCGGCAAGACAATGAGATCGCCGCCATACTGAAGTATCGGGGGACGCGGTTTGGCCCAAGAGTATCTAATCTGACCTGGAGGTCACCGATTGCAGAGTGGCGATCGACATGCATTGGCTTCGCAGTGATTGACGCCCCGATCCGCGCCCCATCCCCGCCCACTCGATCGCGCCACAAAGGCGGGCCCGTCGGATCGCAGGGGACCAGCGCGTGGAGCGGTGGGACCTCCAGCTCGCGAAGATAGACGTCGAAGTCGGGCGTCGCGGCCATCCACGCCGGACTCGTTGGATTCGGCACTGGTGTCTCGAGCTCTGCATCGAACTCGACGCCGTCGGATTCGCGCAGGAGAAGCCTCATCTGGAAGTCCTCGTGCGCCCGCCACCGCGCCAGCATTCGCATCCCAGCCTGCAACACGAACGCCATGGTGGAGCACGCCCCCCGGCCAGCACACACGCCGAGAAGCAGCAGCACCCCACGAGGGAGCCTATGACGAACACGAGCAGGAGAAAGGCGCGGATCCCGCCCAGCTGTTCCGTCGCGGCCGCCAGACGGCCGCCCTCGACGAAGAGATTGCCGAGCCGCCGCGCCCAGCCCAGCGCTATCTCACTTGTCACGGGGAGAGTGGGCTGGGCCAAAAACTGTTGGAGCATGGGGCCCGCCGCTCTCGAAAAGGCTTGAGCAGGGCAGGCGGCGGGGGCACATCGCATCCCGCGCCGTGCAGCGGCCAGACGATTGGGTAGGCAATAGCGTTCAAAGAGCTACACAGAGGAGGAGGAGGAGGAAGAGGAGGAGGAGGAGGGGGAATCATAAGACATTCTACTCGCAAGCCCCTAGAGGTCTCGGGAGGCCTCCGCGCATGGTTCAACAACGCGCAGACGGCTGTATCCTCCTCCTCCTCCTCCTCCTCCTCCTCCTCCTCCTCCTCCTCCTCCTCCTCCTCCATTCCGCTCCTCCCCGTCGTCCTCGTTTTTCTCTTCCTCGTCCTCCTACTTTTCTCCTCGTCGTCCTCCTCGTTCTCACTCCTCCTCCTCCTCCCTGATCCTCCTCCCTCCTCCTCCC